GTACTATACGGACCAAGATCATTTATATCAATATGTTTGAAGGCGAGGAAAAAAGACTTATGTTGGGTTACCTGGCTGCACTCATAGGTTTGTCCTTAATTAATGCTATATTTGTTAATTTACTCACTATTCATTTGTAATATCAGTACTTAAAAGCGTAAAAAGTAAATTTTATTTCAGTATATTATTTTTGTTAATATGGATAATAAGTTTTGGAAAAGTAGCAAATAGAAAATTCATAAAATTGAGTTTAAGCCTTAAAGATGTATTAAGCCATCATATCTGTAAAATCTTGTAAATATTAGTCATATGCTAAGTTTTGGACAAATTTAATTGAAATGTTGACACGATTTAGTTTTCCAAATACAATATTTCTTTTCATTTCAATCATATTACTGTATTATTATTATTATTTATAATAGTGAGAAAGTTGATATCGCAATAATTGAATAGAATTGAATTAATATCGCTTAATATTGCATTAAAATGTCTTAACTTTTATAGACTTTATTACATGTAAAGGAAGTGTAGCTCTATTTTGCTTACTATAAATTAATTTATGTTGTCTTAGTTTGTGTTTATTAAATGTTCTCTAAATTAATGATAAGATAAGGCAATAAGTGTAACGAATTATTCAGAAATAAATTTTTATGTCAATTTTATAACTCATTGTCATAGCGTACAATGCCATTAAATATACTGCCCCCATGTAATAGGAGGTGCCATATGGAATCTAGTGGCCACGTTCGCCGGAATGCCCATCTCTGGCACCCATAGCATAGTCGGTGCAATGGTTGGCTTCTCAGTTGTGGCCAAAGGTTTTGATAGCATTAAATGGATTGAAATCGCAAAGATTGGTAAGTCTTTGGACTTGTAGTCAATCATATGATAAACTAATATTAGCTATGATTATCATGCGATGACATCACCAGTGGGCTCGTGGTTTGCCAGTCCTATCCTCTCAGGAATAGTTTCCGTTCTCATATTTCTCGCGCTTCGAGTATTTATTTTACAAAAAGTATACATTTTTGCAAAAATTTCTTTCAAATATATTGACAACTTTTTATATAAACACAAACAGGAAGCACCTCTTGAACCGGGACTCATAGCTCTTCCTCTAATCTATGGGATTGTTGTCTTAATTAACATATTCTCCATCGTTGAGAACGATCCCTGGGGTATGATTTCAAATATATTATAAAAATCGCAATTATATTAATTATTACCGATTTAATCGATGAAATAGCTCACACCCAATGGTATATTGCCCTCGGAGTAGCCATAGGAGTTGGT